CACACACACACACACACACACACACACACACACACACACACACACACACACACACACACACACACATGCCCCTTCTTCACCAGGTCCACTACCCCGACGGAGGCGACGACAAGCAGGACTTCGACAGGCTGAAGCCAATCGTCCTCCGCCTCATCGGCGGCAGCGACACCCCGCCGCCCCCGCGCACTGCGAACCTGCGCATCAGGGCGCTGGACCTGGGGAGCTCGCCGATTGTCAAGGTCTCAATCAGGCACCACAAGCAGAGCGTTAGGGGGACCTACACCGACTTCACCCAGGTGTGTTTGCCTCCCCCTTCGTGCACTGATTGGCAACTCTGTTAAGCAGGAGGTAGGTGCACGCCTGCAGCCCAATTGTTGCAAAAATCCAGCTGACATACCTACTTGTGCGCATCGCCCGCCACCCTGCTGCTGGGCGGGTCCCGTGTTCAGCAAGCAACACCCGCGCTCTGCCTCCGCCGTCCGAAAGCAGCCAAACCATGCACCACACCGCACCCCCAAAACTTGGGATGTAACGGAGCACCTGTGTAGGGGTATGTAAGCCTGGTAACAGGCCTCCGCACCATGCTAGCACACCTATAATAGTTTATACATGGGAGCACGAAAAGAATCAAGCGGCCCCTCCCCTGACTGCATTGCTGCTTTGCCTTGCCCATGTTCCTTGCGGCTACTTGTCGCCTGCCAGCCCCTCTCGCAATGACAGCACCCCGCTCCCAACCAAAGCCACCACTTGCATTGACAGCTGACCGCTGATGCGTTCTCCCCGACTTCGGGGACAATGCCTCAGTAACAGCAGGTGAAGCTGCAGGTCTGAAGACAGGCAGCTTCCCAACTTTACCAATGCAACGAACATGTATACGCACACTATGGTGCACATTCTAATACTTCCCAACATAGCAGCCCCTGTAGTATGGGTGACAGAGGCGAACGACCGCAAGTTCCACGGCATCCAAGCCACCTCGTGGCCAACCATCTCTCCCCCCTCCTCGCACAAACACTCGCGCGCGCACACACACACACACGCGCACGCACGCGCGCCCCCACCCATGCCATCAACCAGGTCCACAGGATCGAGCTCGTCGACAAGAATGGCAAGGTCTACCACGCCGGCCCCAGGCGCAACTCCAATGACACGAAGACGGAGGACTCCCGCGCGTTCAGCGGCAGAGTGCTGTCCAGCGTCGTGGCCCTGGGCATCACCGACAAGTGGTTCTCCTCCATCAGGCTGGGCTGGCGCCTGGCGGACTACGCCTGAGAACACACAGACAGGCGGGCCTGCCGCAGACGAGGGTGGCGGGCCGCTCTAGAGGGCGAGGCGGCCCGGCAACGTGCGGCGGCCACGGCGGGTCGCACGCGGCTGGCCAGGAGCGAGGACAGTGGGGCTGGCGGGCTGGGGCAGGGTGGAATTGTGTGGAGGGGGGCCACTCGACAGACGCAGGGAAGGGCGGCGGGGCGCATGTGCGGCCGGACGGGGTACAAGCTGGGGTTCAAGGCGGGGTTTAACGCGGGGAACAAGGCGGCGGACAAGGCAGGGGACAAGGCGAGGCACATGCCACTCAAGGCGTGTTATTCGACGGGCCAGCGGGCGCCTGGCCAGGGCGTCTGATACTGCTGAGGTGGCCGGGTGCGGCGAGCCACAGCTGCACAACGCGTGCTGTAGCAGCCTGCAATACCTGCCGGATTAGTGCGCCTCTCGTATGGTCGGGCGCTATTCTGATAACGTGTGTATGACCACAACGCCCACTGGGCTTGACCTCATTTTGAAGGGCTCAGTGCCACGACTCTGCCACGCACTGGGCAGGCGTCCAAATGCATGTTGAGACAATGGCCACACTTTTTTGGCCCAAAACGCGCAGCACCCGCCGGCACCAGCCGGAAACGCGGCCGCCAAACTGGTGCGCCAAGTGCAGGCAGCAGGGGGCTTCACAGGTTGATTGCGCCACACGTTTTCGCACTTGCTGAGGCTTCTCGCCTGTTGCACCTGGCAGTGAACTACAAACACAGGTCCACGCACGGGGCAAAACATGCTCTGACATCTCCTGTGCACCCTTTACTGTTGGCCACACCTGCCATTGCTCTTTTCTGGAGCGCGGCCTGGTGCCTTCCTTGTGCCTGTGATCTGCACCTTCGTGACAAATCTTGCCCGCATTCACACGGCAGAACCCCAACCTGCCACAAAACAACAGATGTTCCCCCACGCACCTATCCGCATGAGCACCTACACGCAAGTGCATTGCGAGTTCTGCTTGCTTGTCCCACGCACAGCACTGCCTGGAAAAATCTGCCTGCAACCAAAGGGTCTCAACACGCTCATCCAAGAGCTCTTCAACTGAAACGTGGCAACCTTGTGTACAGTAACCTGCACCTGCCCAACCAGCAGGCCGCATGCATGGTGCTGCTGCCATCTGAAAATCCATCCCAACTTCTGCACAACCTTTTGCAAGGACTCCTCGGCACGCTTTTGACGCTCACGAGACCCCAAATTCACTGTCTGCAGTTGAGCACTGCTTTGATGCCACGCCCGACACCACAGGGCTAAAAAGGATAATCACCCAGACTTATTTGTTTTCTCCACAGTGTAATACGTTGCAAGTTACGTAAACAAGTAGGTGCAGGTCCATAGCTGAAACCAGGGCAGCTACTTAGTAAGGGCAGCAAATGACTTTCAACGTCCGTCAACATTTTGCACGTGATGCCAACTGAGGACACATTTCAGTAATCAGTGTGTTGGGGTGCGTACAAGATCGTCGGTCACAACAGCACTGCAATGGTGGGTATCTTCACGGCGCAGACGCCACAACTTTATTCACTAGCATAATGGGTGGTGCACGAGCAAGTGACCATGTACCATACGCCTTACTGCATGTTCTGGGGTTTGCAGTGCGGCATTCCCACGTAGGATGCGTGAATTGGACTTTCATGCAGACCTCGGACAGGGGTCAATAATACAAAGCACCTGTATGTGTGGCATGCACCAGGGCAGGGATGCAGCGCCAGGTTGCAGACGCCCTAGCCAGGTTCAATTGATGGCGGTTGCAGGTAGCAGGTGGAATTCATGTTGATGTTGCCAATTCGCACATTGAGATTTTTCATTTGGTCAACTCCTGTAGATTAGGTCAACTCTATCGGTGGTGGCAACAACCAGGCAATTTAAAGACAATCTCTGCAATTCATGTGATCGCCAGCGTATCCTTCCAGGTTCACTTATCTTGTAAGTTGGCAGGTGTGTGTCGCGGCCGATCAGCTGTGC